TTGTTTTTTTTTTTTTGGTATTTGATAACAAATACGAATTCGTGTATGGTTTTAATGTAATGGCTCAATTCTACCGCTAGTAGATATTGTTCTCTGTAGGCTTTTCCCTCGAAATTTTTAAAACACGTTCACTAAGGAGAGATTTTCCCACCCTTATAAAAAATGTTTCATTCGAACTCTGCAATCGATGTGAAATCTCACATTTAGAGAATTAAATCGATGTTAGGGAGTTTTGAATGATTCTTCATTTAGGTCAATATTTCATAATTAAGATCCACATGTATCTAACTCATGTTGGTAGCTATTCGATCCTATCAACACCAACAAAATAAACACAACGCATAACATCTCTTTCGAAACACAAACACTAACATATTATTCGATCAATGGAAGTACTTCCCATTTAACATTTAAATCAAAGTAGGACCATCTTGCTAGCTCTCCTTTTCTTTTTATTTATTCATAACATTATAAGATGAGGAAACTTGATATAGCCTCAGTACCTCTTATGCTGAAACTTCTCGGCATATTCAACGAGCTTGTCGAGTTCATCCTCATTGATGAAGCCATCACCATCCGCATCGGCATGAGCCAATCCATAGTGAGCTTTATAGAAAGGAAGGATATTGCCTAGGAACCCGAAGGCCTTTACTAGCTCGCTGATGCTCAACTGACCATCTCCATCGATATCGTGCTCTCTAAAGATCTCTTTGATCTCGCATTTGGAGAGCTTTAGCTTGCTTGATCGGTAAGACATTTTTTGAGATTATTTGATTTTATTGTTTGACAAAAGGCTTGTTCGAAACCGATGCAAGATTGTGGTGTATTTATAGTAAAACTCTTACATTTTTTATAATCACGTAGCCAAAATAGATTCTTTTCTGAAAATTAAAATGCTACATAGCGTAGAACTTTTCGTTTTCTTTTTCTAGGAATATGGATTCTCCCATTAACGATGTACATGATACTTGATATTTTTTAGTGGACGGAGAATCTCATAAAAAAACAAACCAAACAACTTGGATTCCTCCTCCTAACAAAGATTTTGCTATTTGAAAGAAGTGATGTATATTACTTGAAAATGATGAGAAAACGGTACAAATGTAGTCCTTACATAGGCTATATGGAATGTTTTATTATTACGGTCATACATGAACAATATAATACATTATTCACGGAATGAATCTAAATCTTGTGACTTTGTTTATTAACTAAATACATAGATCTCTCATGTACATGTATGTTAAGAATGAGAAACAAGATTGGAATTGAAAGTCCCACTTATATTTATCATTTGTAACATGGCATCACAACGTGAATGGTGAATGTAACAGGAATGTGTTAAATCAAAATCTGAAATTTTGAAGCTAGATTGGACTAATTCCGCCAAAATGGAAATTTTGATATTTAACAACACCAAGATCAATGTTCCCCTTTATCACTTCAGAGTTTACTACTCTAAGTAAGTTCTTGATTTTATTGTTGAAAGGTGATGATTTGCGGTGCTCAATCAGAGACAATAGCTATAGAGACCCGAAATTAAAAATTTGAGATGTGGGCTTAAAAATATGATATATCTTGTGGGAAGTGATCACAATTTATCTATCCTTTGATCTCCGTGCTTTTCTCTGTTCTTCCTCCTCTCCGGCTCTTATACTATGTTAAGAATGAGAAATAAAAGTAGGACTTTCTATCCCACTTTATTATCATTCTTAACAATGTATCCATAAATTCAAATATTCATGAAGAGTCAAAAACACACAGGATTTTCTTTAAAAAAAAATAACATTTTTCAACTCGGGTGAAACTTTATTTGCACCCATACCATAATAATCTACTATCTAACTATTGTTGTTTCTAAGTTTGATAACTATGTTGATTATTATTATTATTATTATTATTATTTATATCATTATTGTATCATTAAACAATTGGCTTATGCTTATAACTACCTCAATTTTACCACGGAAATAAAGTTAGGTACTAGAGGTATGATTTAGATCAGAATTCAGAGTCTGGATTCGGTACCTAAGGCTACAACCAACATGAAAATGTATCTACTTTAGCTTCAATTCTATGGTCGTTACTGTGATGTCATCCAATCTTGCATATCTCAGTAATTTAAGAAATACTTAGTGAGTGACCCTACTAATGTTGTCAGAAAATATAATCACATACAATCGTATTTGGGACCTATCATAAAACATCATTATATTGTCGTGGTCTCATCTTTCAGTTCAAGCAAAATTGGATATGTAGTACTTCTTTACACACGACTCACACACGTGCACATGAACCCCAGACAGCTCGATACATGCTCCCTAGACCTGGGCTTTGACTTGCATACACTCACTTTGTCAGTATACCACAGACGGAAGGGAACGTGCTTAATATCATAGTCGACAAGTAGTTTTGATAGACATTAAAATCCTATATATTGAGATTATTTATTCAAATTTTTTATTTTTAATAAAAATAAAAGGTTACTTTCTAAAATATC